CCCGATGTGTGGCGTGCCTCGAGGTTGGTACCGGCATGTGGCGAGGAGGGGAGGCCGTTCGTACACGTCCAGAGCCAAGAGGCGTCGCAGTCAACAATGCAGCATGCCTCAGTGGAGCTGCCGGTCATGGCTTGATGACTTGTTGACCTCTGATGTGAAGCTCATGTCATTCGTGGATGAGGGAGTCGCATGTAGATGCTGACAGACAAGGACAGACAGGCAGGCAGGCGAGCAGAGAGACAGACACCGGAACCGGAGAGAGTCGCGAGACTCTTCAACTCAAGGAAGGCCCTGATCCGGGCCTCTGGCACCCTTCAGATAGAGCTTTCTTGGAGTAAGCTCACCTAACAAACCCGAACCCCTGAACCTCCTTGCACCTTAAGCCTTGCGCAGCGAACAGGTCTGGTGTCTTGGGGACTTCCTCCGGTCCTACCTGCCGCAGGCGGGGCCAGGTTGACTTCGAGTGGATTGGCGCTTTCGATAACAGCAATTGGAAAAGCTAGTGCAAATTGTATCATCGGTGGTACGAGATAAGAGGAGTCGTAGTAGAAGGTTCCTGCTATCGATGATGTTGAATGCTTTTGGATAGATCCTTCAACGGAATCCGTTTGCCACTCCAAGATCTTTTATGGAGTTGCGTGCACGAAGCAACATCGGGATGCGGTCGGTTTCCGAGCAGAGTTCCCCACGCCATGTCGCAAGAGGAAGATGTCGCAGAAGGTAAAGAAGAAAAGCCCACAGGAGTGCCTGCAGCAGATGATGAGAACGCTGAAAAGGCAAAGTGGTGTTTCACACGAGAGCATCAATAAAGATGACTGTTTAGCACTGAGAGTCTAAAGCATGTGCTCTGTTCGCATCGCAGGTTGTGATTCCCCCAAGCTTGAAGCCTCAATCACAAGACACACAACATAAGTTTTGCCCGCCTTCAAGATTGAAAGTTCCTTCGTTGCTTATCAAACTTTTCTGCGCCGTGGCATATGTAGCCCTTCATGTGGTGTGCGGTTTCAAGGGGTGTGGGCATTGGATTTTGCCCAGCATGAGGTTAGACAGTACACGCATGTGATGCCAACCTCCTGAAAGCCCAGAACCTCAACGGCCACCTGGCAGCCCTGACAGCCTGCAGCTGATGTAGCTGTTGATGGCAGGCTGCGGACACGGCTCTGAAAAAAGAGCTGGAGGAGCCGGGGAGGGGGGGTTAAACGTTGGGCCGTGTCCTCTTGTGGGCGGAAAAGCTGTCAGTCCCTGAGCCCTACTGTACACCCGTTTCAGATCCTTCCAAGGAGGGTTGTATACCCCTGGTAGCATTAGGGAGACGACTTGAAGGGGACCCTTCTTGACCCTACTTCTGCCTCTCGTAAACGGGACTTTATCGAGAGGGTCTACATCTTCAAGGATCCCCCCTAATCCTAACTCCCATGCAGGGTGGAGCTTTGGATTTGGGTTTCAGGAGCACTAGGGCGGTTAAAGCTTTCGGGCTCAGGGAATCCAGGGGCTGTGATACTAAATTAGGGTTTCCAGCTCAGGACTCGCGGATGTAATTGTACCTGCGTGGCCCCGAGACTCTACGCTTACGCCTCAAAGCCTCAAAGCCTTTTGGGTTGGGGTTTAGGGTTCAGGGTTCAGGGTTTAGGGTAGAGAGGCCCTGAACCCCCGAGCCCTCCGTGGCGTTCTTGCGCGCAGGACCTCGACGCCCTCCGCGTAAAGCAGGCGCAGCGAATGGACGACGGCAGCTTCGTCCAGGCTGGCCCTAGATTGTCTTGCTTTCTCGTCTGGGAACCGAAACCACATCCGTGAGTTCCCCATTCAAAGCACATTGAAACCTTACAAGAACCAGTCTTATAACCCCTGTGAACAACTCTGTACAGTTGAAATAGGCCCTGAACCGGGACCAGCTTTAATGCGGCTCGTCGCTGTGGCACCAAGACGACTGGGGTGTACAAGAGCGATCCTAATCAGAACCCTAGCGCCGCCGCCGCCGTCGCCCCCACCACCGCCCCCACCACCGCCACCGCCACCGCCGCCACCGCTACCGCTACCGCTACCGCTACCGCTGCCGCTACCACTAC